GGGTACGACCTGTATAAGTGCTCAGAAATGACGTATCTCGTTGCGACCGATATTTTCTGTTATACGTTTGGAAGTCGTTTGTTTGTGACATTACTGGCTCTGCTGATTGCTGGACTAGGAATCTGTTACATTTTCACTAGTAACATTCTATACATTCTTATTGTAAGAACTAATTTAAGTTTATTTTTGTTGTTTCATCTCAGTTGTGTTGATGGAAGCGCTCTTTGATTGCATAAGCTTTTGCATTAGTATCTGATGATGGTTGCAGTATTCCATAGGAACGCTAGCTGTGGTATGTTTGAGCGTGGGTACCGTCGCATCCGAATTATACATCGAATTAGAGGTTTGAAACTAACTACTTTTATATCAAATTTGTTTCTCCAGATTTTTCTGTACTGTCAAAAAAAATACGACGAGGTTCAAAGGTGCTTGACGCGAGATGCTCGACGGTATATTTTTTGTCAAAAGTAAAAGCTTTTTTATATGCATTAATTCTGTGCATTAAAATGCCTAATATTAATCTTGAGAATTATTAAGCGCAAATTATAGTACACAGAAAAATTGGGAATAATAAAAGTAAACATTAATAGGAATTTTGTACAACTATAATAGTATGATAACTTTAAAGGTCGCAACGGCAATGATAAATTAGAATTCAAGGTTTTCTCATTTTTGAAATGCTTTACGAAATTGACTTTGATTATTAAAATAGAAAAAGATTTTGGATAAAAGTAAACTGAAGCCTGTTCTGCAATTCCAAAACAGTTATCATTTTTATTCTGTTTTTTTAAGGTATAATGATTTGAAAGGCAAAAGGAAAAAAAATTTAGGTCTTCAACCAAAAAATCCAAAATCTTTGTAAAGCTGGCATAATATAACCATATGCTTGTAGTTATTTGACAACCTATTTATTTCAAAGTTCTGTTTGAATCACCAATTTAAGATACTGCCAGAAGTTGGAACTCGTTTGGAACAAACCTTGCTGTTTAACTATGGGCATCCATCAGAATCGGAAGTGACTGAAGCTTGGGATCGTTTACAGTCAGAAGTCTGTCCTCCAGTCCTAAAACAGTTATCACTTTTATTCGATTTTTTGGTAAAGTATAATGGTAAAGTATAATTGTAAAGTATAATAAGTAAAGTATAATTGAAAGGCAAAAAGTTATCAGTTATACTGCAGGATAATTGCTGTGGCGTAGCTGACGGGAATGCAGAAAAGTTATATGCAGATTCTCTGTGGTTTCAAGTGCAAAAAACATATCCACTTAAAAGAGTACCGCATAGTTGCTGTCTGTCATGCAACTATGCTGTTAACAGGTAATTAACTCCATAAGAAATAGTGAACTGTCAAACTGTATACAGTTCAAACATTTTCTACTTAAATTGCCTATTTACAAACTGGTTTTATTTTAAAAATGAATAAGTAAACTATAAAAATCAAAAGTAACAAAAAAAATGAAAAAAGCGCTTGAAGAGTGAGGTTATGTGTTACGGTGTTGTCCATCTTGAAGTTTTTCTATAGCTACACGTAGCCTGAGCCCTGTGAGCATTTGAAAGCTATTTCACTGTACAAATTTTACAAGTCGATTGTTGTTTAAGGTACTGTCAATCTTTGACCGATAGAGGGAGTGTTGTAAAAAAATGCAGTTTTGTAAAAGAAAGGTGTCAACTATCAAACCTCACGTACGTAAACCTTGACGCTTGTACACGGAGACGACAAACTGCACTGCTAACTGCAGATGACGAGCTTTTTTACAATAAAGTATTTTTTTTTATTTTTAACAGGTTTAGCAGTACTAATTAAATATAAACCCAATTTTTATTAAGACTCATTTTCTTTCTTTTATTGATTTGTTAGTATGAAAATTCCAAAAATTTTCATGATTACGAGTCCAAGCTTAACGTGGGAAGTTTCTTCTGTTAAAAAAGTGCTACTGTTACTGAAGAATTTGGAATTGCAGGGCTGTTATGAGGCATTTTATTCAAAACTTCAAGATTATGTTGGGAGAACACTAAGAAGTGCTATTTTAATGACCATAAATCTTTTGTTTTGCTTTGTTTATTCTCTTGTACTTTTGAAGCTGTGCCCAAATTTTTCATAATTGGGCAGTAAACAGTAGCGAAAAGATATTTTTGTTTGTTTGACGCATAAAAAAAACTGATTTTACTTGAAAAGCGAATCCAAAACAAAGCTGGAGAAAATGTTTCTGGTATACACAGTTTGTTTACTATTATTTATGAGTTAAAAGTTAACTATTTTAACGTTATCACAGACTTTTCTTGTCTACCTATTTTTCGTTCCTGTTATGAACTTTATGATTCCCATCAGACAGATTAATGATTTTTCTTGTTGTTGTTACTTTTCTTGTCTTTCACGGGTATTGTTGTCACTAACATTGATGTTATCATTGTTGTTGTTGCTGTAACTATCGTTTTTCATTTCTTTTACTTATAGTTTGGATTATGCACAAACTGTACATTCATAAAATTAGGTATATTAGATTCAAGATAAATGCGTGAGGAAGTTAATGCGTTTTAGCATGCTCATTTGGCAAGTCATTGATCAAGTCATTGATTTATCAAGTTTAGTATTACTGTTGCGGGCATATCCACATTTAAGCTACTATTCCAATAAATCACTGACGTTTGCAAAACTACCAGCTTAGTTTGTTGAAGTAGCATTTACAAGAATACGCCTAAAAACTTTAATGAGGTGCACTTAATGCTAGTGGAGTTATAGTATATAAATCATCTCTATATAATGGCTCATTGAATAATAATACATTTGTACAGTTACCACTTTTTTAAATCTCTTTGATTTTTTTTTTCATTCTTAGCAGCACAACGAAAAAAAAGTGTCTTACTTAATAGTATTATTGAGAGTCTTGAAATCTTTTGCTCAACAGAGATTTTTTTCCGCAATAATTTGTAACTTTTGACAGTGATGAGTAGTTATTGTAAAGAACGACTAGATACAAATCGTGGTTCATCTTTTGATACTTGACTAATTTACTCAAAGGGAAATATTCTTCTTAGAGGTTTTGTGGAGAATAAATGCTTATTTATTCCAATAACTTCTTGACAAGAGAACAGTAGAAAATCCTATTGCTGGCAAGAATAATCAAGAAATCAAAAGCAGTAAAAAAGTATTTGAGCAATCGGTTGTACCGTTTTGCCCGCCTCTGTTCGTTATATTTAAGCATTTGCTGCTTTGCAACTCTGTTTTGCTTCACCAACTTTATTATCCTTTGCATTTCAAGCCTGCTATTAAATTTTTCACTGCATCGTGCTTAACAGCGTTGTATAAATAGTCTTTTTAATAAATTTACTTTACAGACCCTTACCGATTAAAAACTATATTTGGCAGCTGTTATGCAAGTTTTGTTAGCGCCAACCAGTCTTACAATTTTCCTGGGCTGTAAGCTAAGAAAAGTTGCTTGATAATTTTAGACATCAAATCAGGTTGGAAAATAAGTTGGTTCACTGTATCCTAAGTTGAATTCCTCAACTTCTCGAGTATAGAGCTTCTAAGTACATTTTTGGTGAAATTACAGATACCGTTTAAACTTTCATCCTTCGAGGAAAACTGTACATTCAGCAGTTAATTTAATGAGTGTCTTCACAGTTACATAAATCTCCTTAACGGATCTGATCAAAAAAATTTTTTTGCTCATTGTAAATGATATATAGCGTAAATTTCCAGTAACGGAACTGTGTTACTAAACCTATTAAAAGTGTATAAATAATACTCTTGATTCGTTGCCTTTACTTAAATGTAAAGCATACCATTATCATAAAAATTCTTGGAATAGTTCTTTTAGCCTTGTGCTATCCAACGTGTATTTTTCAATGCTTTTTGGAAATATTACATAAAAATTTTAATTTACCCTTTCCAAACGTATTGCTGTGGTCATTTGAAACAGCATGTTTTGACAATTTTTAGACAGTTTTCTTGAAAAAAAAGACGGTCTTCTACGCTCTTCTCATGCCTCTTCAGTGTGAATGCCAAATAGATTGTCTAGTTCATAAGCATTATGAAAAGCAAAATAGTTTACTTGGGCGGTTTTAATGCAGCTTTAAACTCAAAATTTTAGGTGAAGACCGTCTTTTTTTGAAGCACCGTTCACTTTTTGACTTTATTAGATGGTAGAAAAATTTTTATATAAATATTAAAAAGTAAATTATTAGATTTGGATTAAAAATTAGTCACTTTTTAAAGGGTTGCAAGCAGTACTGGCAAAATGTTTCTTTGCAAAAGCTGTTGTATAACTTAAACAGCTAGATGACATAACGGCATAAACCATCTCTAAGTTGTAACGGTTTATTTAGCATCGCAGTTTTAAGCAAATGCTGTATTTTTCAACAAGCTGCAAAATCCTTATAAATTAGAAATCAGCAGTTATTAGCTGGAATAAAGAGAACTAGTCAAACTGCGGCCAGTTTAGTTGATTGACCTAGCTGCGCCGCACTGCTTTTAAGATAGTCAACTCGATGAAATGATTCTAATGGGAAAGATTAATGTTTCATTTGGGGAAGAATTTTAGTTCAAAATCTTGTTTGTTTAGCATTGCCGGCAATAAACTAATAATAGCGGTGACTGTTGTGCTGTTGACAGATTTAACTTTTTGTTCGTAAAATGAAGGTTTTCAAGGTAATAAGAAAAAATTCTTTCATTTCCAAAGAGAAGAAATAGAGAGCAAACAGTTAACCTGCAATTTACAAGAAATTAACTGGAAGTAATTCTTAGTTGAAACAGTAATAACGCGAATTTATACGGTCAGTTGGCCAAAAGACTTTGTTTTTTTATTTCTGGTTAGAAGTCGCGAAGAAAGAGTAATAACAAACTATTGCTTGAACTATGATCTTGTTAAGCAGAGGAGGAGTAGACTGTGTCGAAACAGTAAACGAACTATGATAAACTATAATCTATTCTCTACTGGGATTTAAAAGCTGTATACGATTTTTCTTCTGGTGAGGGTTTAACCAATTTCTCTGTAGCCTTGAGGGCTTCACTTCATAACGGCAGTCTAATGTTCTCAACTGCTCATTGGTTAGTCATTTCCAGATGAGGGTTGCAGTTAGTCTAACGTCAGCAGATAAGAGGGGAAAAAGGTTCTTCGAACCTGTCAAAAACTAGTTAAAATGTTTGAACTAAACCAAAGATGATAAACCCCCAACATTGAACTGTAACAGTAGCAGAAAGATAAGGACTAACTGAACAGTGAGATTAATTTGTCAGTATTGCATAGTGCGCGATGATATTTCAATCATTCTAAAGACAAGAACTGGTTCGTTCTTCTACTGAATTAATCAGTAAGGTGGTTTTTGTAACAAACTGTTGGTATGTAAAAACCAGTAGTGAAAAAACCTGTGTTACAAAAAAACTAAAAAACCAGATAAAACATAAATCATCATATAAAAGCTCCCAAATAATCTCTGAACAGATATATTTTAAATAAGCTGAGATATCTCAAAAATAAATACCAATAAAAACTTTTAACAGTGGTCGTTAAAAGTAGATTAATTGTGTTTTTTTTCTTCTTTCGACGTATTTTCAGATTTCTTTACTAACAGCAGATAATGTGTGCGAAATTTCTGGCTAAAAAGCAAAAAAAAATTGAACCATCTTCCAAGTAAAGTGAAATAATGTTGGAGAAACTGCTGTAATAACAGTAAAGAACTGAAAATAAGCAGTTATTATTAAGGAGAAAAGAAGGTTGTCCCATGAATTAGAAAGTTTACAGTGAAAGAATCGGTGATTGAGCAACAAACTGCACTAAGAAAAAAAAAGTAGACGAACAACAAAGCTAGCAAAGCACTTCTTTTGCATCATCAATAAGGAATTTCTTAAAATATATCAATGCAGAAGTTTGAATTGGTAGGTAAACGAAAACAACAACGACATTGGCCTCTCTCATGACTGCTCATATATGCCTAATCGATTAGTACTTAATACAGGTAAATCGACGTCAAATCAAAAAAAGATATCCGTAAACGCTGTGAAGATCAAAACAACAACTTTGCAGAATAGCATCTAAGAGAAGTAACAATAAACAATTTACAAAAAAAAAACTTAATTTTAACGGTTTTTCTGTATATTACGTTGACGAACATCACCGTTTTCATCAGGTCTTTGCTTCATTAAAGACGCACTCTTGGTTTGCTGTGATTCTTCATGTTTCTCATACTTTTTGTTTGTTTGCTAAAAAAACAGTACCAAAATAATTGATGTGCCATGAAACTGACAAAGCACTATCGTTTGTTTGAAACACTCAATTGCTAAACATCTAACCAAACAATCGTTAATTAGTTTGTTTCTTTTTTGCAATAAAATTCAAAAAAACTTACCTTCTGCTTTTCTAATTTTTTATTTTGTCGATCACTCTTCAGTGATGAATGTCCACAAAGTTTAGTAAATAGTAAAAAGATAATAGATACAGGTAACAGTGACGCAGTTAACAGGATTAGCAGAAAGTCGAAGCAGAGCGGACGGAGATAGAATAAAGTTCTTCGTGGTGGTCGAAGAAATTTCGCTCCACGATTTCTACCTGCATGTTCGATATACCGTAAAGCCACGTCAAAAGCGCTTTCAGATCTATCATTCCACAGTTTGGACAATTCTTTTGCTGTTGCTTTATACCTAAATGATCGCTAGGTCCAGAGTATATTCACGACAATAATGGTATATGGCAAACAATTCACTCTTAAGTGGTTTTTAAATGAAATAAGATTTCCGTATAAAATAAGGCACTACTGATGACACGATTTGTAGCTGTAAACAAAGCCTAAGCTGAATAGCGAGCAAAAGTGAAAATGTATTTGAACGAGTTATAATTCATATAACAGGTTCTGAAATTTTCTAACCATTTAACCTTGTTGTTATATGAGTGAAGTTTTGCAAAAAGTTAGGAAAAATTTCTCCGTTTGTAAAGTAAAAAAAGTTCCCCTGAACAGTTATAAAAACTCACTGATCATAAAATTTATTTGTCGGGCTTTCCCCACAGTTTCTGTTTTTCTTTCATTTTGCAATCAAAATTCTCCAAATGACCTTATTTTTAAAAATTGTAATTAACAACGTTCTCTACTTCAATTTTGCGCTTTTCAAAGTTAGTGAAAGGCGCAGTTTTAAGACTATGAGATGCAAATAGCACTTTTTTTAAGCATCTAGGAGAAGTAGAAAACGTACTTTCAATAAACGCCAAAACTTATTGAAGAGTCCTCAACACAGTTTACACTGTATTCATTGAAGCTTTAAAAAGTACTCAATTTACTTACTCATTTTTACATAGAATGAGCAAATTTGATCTTCAGGGTTTCCATTTATAAATGGATACTTGAGGTGTAAATTTACTCGTTGTACTTGACGTTTACGTAATTATTTGTGCCATTACTTTTGAATAACCCATCACACTATTTTTTGAAACACTGATATTAATCTAGTTGTTTTTAACCAATAATTAAGCTATCCAAAATAAAGAAATTGAAAGTTTAAAATTTAAAAGTATTGTCAATGATAAATCTTTTGAAACAATTCAAAACATTATTTTTGTTTACTTTTTCGTTTCCAGCACCTCTTTGATTGCTTTCGATAGTGCGGCCTGAGAAAGTTCTGATTTTTCCACAATAACACCAAAACCTTTGTTCACCACCTTGCGAAGGTTATGCCTGTTATTCCCATAAAGCGGAATTCCCACAATTGGAACACCATGAGCCAAAGCTTCTATGATACTCATCATTCCACCGTTGGTGATCAGCAGAACAGTTCGTTTATGAGCTGGAATATGTCATTTAAAACCAATTATTCATAAACAAAACTTTAAAAATTCTTTATTTGGAACTTTTGCCTAACTTTTCAAATAAACCACTCTTTTCTGTTTAGCTCACAACAAGTTTTATGCTAATAAGAACAAAGGTCTGAGAATCTACACAGGCATTGTAAAAGCGGAACTTTCTCAGATTTAAACTTAGTAAGCCACTTACAAGTATTAACAAAGTATGCAAAAACGTACCCAGTAAGTCGTTCTGAGGTATAAATGCTGTGAAGTTAATATGCTTGGGAGGATCTGAGGGCAGACTTGGATGATATGAGTTTGGGCCTAGTCTCCAGTAAATTCTGTAGGACGTCAGGCCTTTTAACGCGCCATATATAGCACGAAACTGTGCTGAGGTCATTGCAGTAGAATTTGCCTGCGTACCCAACGAAACGACAATTGTTCCTTTCTCAGAGGCAGCCAAAGTGGTGTTCCATGGCTGAAGGTTGAAAATGACATTGTTATATAGCTAACTAGCTTTTTTTTCTACTGCTTATGTAGTAAGACTCAGCTGTAAAATATTTTTTCGTGAAACTCCGTTCAAATCCAATACGACAGCACATTTCGTCCCATGACAAAATTTAACTGATCACTAGCATTTAAACCCATGAATGGTGGATCGGTAGAAAATCGAAAACTATGAACATACATACATAAAACAGTGGTTTAACATGATCAATATGAAGTCCACCAACTGGGATAACGTTCGGCGGAAGTGCATAATCATATTCTATCAATGGATCAGAGTTGATAAAATAGAATTCTGCATTCTGTTTTATCTGAAAAGAATGAAGAAAAGTGATTTTCAATTAGGGTTAGATATCAAGAATAAGGAACAGCCTTCTTTATCTGGACATTCCTCCCCTGTACAGAAAAGTACTACCTTGTTAACATCGGGGAAATTGCCTTCATGTTTTTTTTTCAGCTCGTAATCTTCTAAAAACTGTTTAGTTATAGGGTAATCTAGAAGTCTATAGCGTTGTGAAAAAAGCTTTGCAGTCCAATATATGCCACTTTGAACAAGGTATTCACGCAGTAAACAGAATCCATTCAGATAACGTTGGTAAAATGACGACGATTCCAGTAAACAACTTGATGGAGGAATATCGAGATTTGGTGGTGTCCCGGAGGCCACCAACGTTTCATCAGTAAAACCTAGAATGCTTGTATAAAAACTTTGTTTTCCCAATCTTTGTTTTAATCTTTTCTTATTTGAGCTAGTACAAAAGTAACAATTTGTAGGAATTCACCTTACACTCTTTTCCAACTCCATGCTACTGGAGAAGGGGAAGAACTCAGTAGCAATGTCTGTTGTTTTTGTAATTGTAATAACAAACATGAAGGTTTGCAAAACGAACCAGAGTAAGTTTTTTTTTGCCAGCGGTGTTAATTTCTTTGCTTAGTTGTTAAAAAACTATCATTTATTTGATCAAGAAAGCAATTCTAGAGTGTTGTTGAAGCACTGGTAAGATGAAATAAATTGATTTTTACGTAACATTAAATTTTTCATGCCACTGTCACAACCAATTTTAGACAGTTTGTGAGCCGAAAACTGTAGGGGTAAAAGTAGTTGGAAAAGAGTATATTACAGTCTCTCAGCGAGTTGGTTCGTTTGATCAGAAACATCCTAGGAATAATCAATTTCAGGTGCAGAAGTGGAATAATAGAAAAGGTGCTTTTTTGCTGGATGTAGATAAAATAAAAAGTTAATAGTCAAATAACTGGCATATGTTTGAAGTTGTTAAGCTTGTTAGACAGAAATACTGTTTTTTAAGTTGAATGTGCATTAGTGGGAGGAGTTACAAAAAGAAGTTTTTGAGTGATCGCCGTTTGTAAATATCGTTTAGTAATCACCTTCAACATCGAAATAAATGAATGGAATTTGTAGGGTGTGAAGTATAGCTAACTGACAGGGATTTCCAGCGTAAACTATTGCTATATCGATGTTATCCTTTTTCAAAGTATCCATTAAATTGCTGTTTAACATCTAAAAGTACTGTTATAAGGATAATTTGTTGCACCAGAAGTACCTCTTATCGTAGTCATCATAATCTGTTTGAACCAAATTGCTATTGTTTTTTCTCAAGAAGACGGAAGTTCTTTATGTCATTAATATATGATCAGCAAAAATAATTTCAGTATAGAAAAAAAAAAGAACAAGAGGAACAATAACAAATCAAGATTAATACTAAAACTGATTAGCCAAATAACCAGCTGTTTGAAATAGGTGATAAATTCTGAAAACCTCTTCATTACTTTTTCTGAAGCACTAGATCTTTCACCCAAATGCATCCAGATTAGCTGGTATAATAGGTCAAGAATGATTAGTTTTACCTTGTAACAAGAATGATTATGTGCTGCATAATATGGTATTCGATGGGCATCAAGTTCGTAGGTTTTCTGCCATGGAATACTGTTTCCAATTGTCTCAAGTTTCTCGTACATTTGTCTGCAAAAAAAAAAAAAAGAAATCTTTTTTTTCTATTTCTGCAAGTGTCAATTTGTCATAGCAGTTTCTCTTTCCACTTCCCCTAAACCGTCTGTATTTCCCTCCCCCTTCCCCCTCCTCGCTCCTCAAGAAAAAGCTTGCATTTATTATAACACTTTAGTAGTCATAGGCTCTTATTTGTAAATATTTGACTTGGAAATATGAGTAAAAAAAAAA